TGGACAGGCGGTGGACTCAGTAGGGGAGGAGTAGGACCAAGAGAGGGCGGGAGGCCAAGAACCTGCTGAAGGAGCGGAACGTAGTACGGCCGCGGCCAGCACCTCCAGCAGCTCCAGCAGCACCGCCAGCAGCAGCAGTGCCTCCAGCAGCTCCAGCACCAGCAGCACCTCCAGCAGCGCCAGCAGCACCACCAGCAGCAGCAGCACCTCCAGCAGCTCCAGCAGCACCAGCACCAGCAGCACCTCCAGCAGCGCCAGCAGCACCGCCAGCAGCAGCAGCACCTCCAGTAGCTCCAGCAGCACCAGCACCAGCAGCACCTCCAGCAGCGCCAGCAGTACCGCCAGCAGCAGCAGCACCACCAGCAGCTCCAGCAGCTCCAGCACCAGCAGCACCTCGAGCAGCGCCAGCAGCACCGCCAGCAGCAGGAGCACCTCCAGCAGCTCCAGCAGCACCAGCACCAGCAGCACCTCCAGCAACGCCAGCAGCACCGCTAGCAGCAGCAGCACCAGGGTCCGCGACACCGGGAGCGCCACTCCGGAGACTGTTGCGCCGAGCGTACCACTCTCGGAGCCGCTGGGGAGAGGGCAGCTCCCGCCTAGGAGGGGAAGCACGAGCACCAGCTCCAGCAGCACTCCGAGCTCCAGAAGCACCCCTCCTGAGGCTGCAGTACTGTAAGTACCTCTCACGTAGCTGCTGCGAGGAGAGGGCTCCTCCAGATGTAGCACGCTCAGTCTCAGCACCCTCAGGCTCAGTACTCGCAGACGGAGCACTCCCAGGCTCAGCACCCCCAGACTCAGCACCCCCAGACTCCGCACCCCCAGGCTCAGCACCCCCAGACTCCGCACCCCCCCGCTCCGCACCCCTAGGCTCCGCACCCCCAGGCTCCGCACGCTCAGGCTCAGCACCCCAAGCAGGACGAGAGTCGATAGCTACCTCGACAGGCTCAACCGGGTCTACCTGGGACACACCTGAGGGAGCGGCACCCTGAGGGGGGAGGGGGTCTACCACAGTAGCACCTGGTGCGAGGAAGAGAGGCGGGGGGGGGGAGCGGGGCAGTGCGGTAGGGGAAGAGGCGGTAGTAGGAGACCGACTCGTCGAAAGTGACGTCCTGAGAGGGCAGGACACGGCGCGAGGTGGCGTGGTAAAACTGCCAACCAGACGCGTCCGGGACAAAGCCAAGGAAGACACAAGGAACAGCGCGGGAGGAGAGCTTGTCCGCGGACGTATCGCGGACAAAAGCTCGAGATCCCCAGACCCGAAAACGCGACGCATCGCCAACCTCTCCCGTCCAACGCAGTGTCGGCGAAGTCTCCGGAACGGAGACACGGGGCCAGACGTTGAGCTGATGCGCAGCGTATCGGACCGCAAACGGCCACAGAAAGTGGGGGGCAGCCGCATGGATCAAGGAGGTACGAGCGACCTCCATGACCAAGCCAATGCAGCGCTCAGCTACCCCATTCTGCTGTGGAGAGGCCGGAAGCGTGAACGACTGCTCAATGCCCTCCCCCTGATAGAAGGCCCTCAAGAGGTCGGAGGAGAACTCCCCACCTCTGTCAGAGCGCAGACGCAGGACAGGAAAGTCCGAGTGGAACCTCTCGCTGAGCTGGAGACGGGCAGCGCGGATCCAAGGGATCAAAACATCAGGGACTTCACCCTTGGTGCGCAAGGGGAAGACCGTGGTGTAGCGCGAGTAGTCGTCAACAACTATCAAGAAGTACCTCTCGTGACCCTGTCCACGGACGCGGGCTGGGCCCCACACGTCCATGTGGAGCGTCTGCAGGGGAGCAGTCGTCGGGGGAAACGAGGAGGAGTGAGGAGCGGCACGCTGCCGCCCCTCGACACAGGGAAGACAGGGAGGAGCAGGCGAGGGTGGGAGGGGAGGGAGAACCCTGGGAAGACCAGAGACAAGGTACCGGGAGTGCATGCGACGAAGGCGCTGCACTGACGGGTGACCAAGGCGGTGGTGCCATAGGACGGTCTCGTGCGACAGGGAGCGACACGAGCAGGGGGCCGACAGCTGACCTGACGCAGACGCAGACGCAGCTACCTGAGGGGACTCAGTGGTCAGTGTGTACAGGTCCGACCCCGGCTGCCGAGTAAAGGTAGCCAGGTGGCGACCCGTCCGAGCGCACGTGCAGTGTGTCACGCGCTCGTAGGCAGGGGTGAACTGGTGGACACCCCCGTCCTGGAGCGCACTACCCGCCACCAAGTTTGTAGAGAACGAGGGGACTTAGAGGCCTGACAGTGTGCCCGACGGGACTGCAGGACAAGGGAGGACAGTGGAGGAGGTCGCAATGACCGGACCCCCAGAGGGGTCAGCGAGGGAGACTGCAACCGGCCGAGCAAGCTGCTCAAGGGCAGTGCGGTCACGAAAGAAACAGCGAGAAGCACCTGAGTCCAGTGTGAAGGTGTGCAGTGCCTCAGCAGACTCTGTACCAGAGGGCGCAGACTCACGAGCACCTAGCGCAGCAGCCTCACCAGCACCTGGGGCAGCAGACACACTAGCACCTAGAGCGGCAGCCTCACCAGTACCTAGAGCAGCAGACTGGATACCGGGGTCAGGCGGCACACACAGGTGACAGGCACCCTCAGTACTAGTAGACAATGCATACATGGCAGTGAGGATAGCATCATAGTCAGAAGCAAAGATATCTACCCTCTGCCTAAGTAGCTCCACCCAGTCGGGGAGCTCAGCGTCGTCGCCAAACTCTGTACGCCAAGCGTCGCTCAGACGGGCGAAGCAGTGGGACTCTGTGTGACCACGCGTCCCGCAAGGCTGACCAGTCCGGGCACCCGTGCTAATAACGTACGGGCAGCGAGCAGTACTCAGCGACCCTCTGCTCTGAGCGTACCACTCACGAAGCTGCTGGGGCGAAAGAGTCTCGCGCGGACGACGCTGCTGCTGCACCGGGCCACTACAAGAAGCTCCCGAACTACTGACTCCAGGATGACTCCCACTACGGCCACCCCGACAACCCCAACTGACGTACCACTCACGAAGTTGCTGGGGCGTGAGGGACACACGCGGACGGCCCTGGAGCTGCATTCGGCCACGCCAGGAATAGCAGTAGCAGCAGTAGCGGCAGTAACAGCAGTAGCAGCAGGAGCAGGAAAAGCAGTAGCAGCAGTAGCAGCGGTAGCAGTGCGGGCAGGGCAGTGCTCACCAGTGGTAGGAAGGGCAGGCGCAAGACGGTGGCGAAAGCGGGGCCGCTACAGCTGGAGGGCGGGGTCGGGCCGCGGCAGGGAGCTCCGCGGCAGCTGCTGCAGGGCAGGGCCGGGCCGCGACGGCAGCTGCTCCAGGGGCCAGGGGCGGCTCCTGCAGTGGCGGCTGCTCCAGGTGGCCAGGGGCGGCTGCTGCAGGGGCGGCTGCTCCAGGGTCCAGGGGCGGCTGCTGCAGTGGCGGCTGCTCCAGGGGCCAGGGGTGGCTGCTGCAGGGGCGGCTGCTCCAGGGTCCAGGGGCGGCTGCTGCAGTGGCGGCTGCTCCAGGGGCCAGTGGCAGCTGCTCAAGGGTCCAGGGGCGGCTGCTGCAGTGGCGGCTGCTGCAGTGGCGGCTGCTCCAGGGGCCAGGGGCGGCTGCTGCAGGGGCGGCTGCTCCAGGGTCCAGGGGCGGCTGCTGCTGGGGCGGCTGCTCCAAGGTCCAGGGGCGGCTGCTGCAGTGGCGGCTGCTCCAGGGGCCAGGGGCGGCCGTCCCAAGGGCGGTCGCGGGGTAGGGCAGGGCGCCGCGGCGAGCAGGGGCGACCCCGCGCGGGTCCCAGTGGCGACGCGCGGGTCGCGCGGGGGCGTCGCGACGAGGCAGGGGCGACGCGCGCGAGTCCCGGTGGCGACGCGCGCGTCGCGCAAGGGGCGTCGCGACGAGGCAGGGGCGACGCGCGTGGGTCCCGCAGAAGCGTCGCGACGAGGCGTGGGCGACGCGCGGGTCCCGCAGGGTCGTCGCGACTAGGCAGGAGCGACGCGCGGGTCCCGCAAGGGGGGCGTCGCGACGAGGCAGGGGCGACGCGCGCGGGACCCGTAGGGGCGTCGCGACGAGACAGGGGCGACGCCGGGGTCCCGCAGAGGCGCCGCGACGAGCAGGGCGACGCGTCGCGGGGTCCAGGGGCCGCGAAACCCTAAACCAGGGGCGGCTGCGCGGGTGCAGAGCAGGCCCGCGCGTGGCCTGCAGGGCAGGGCGGCAAGGTGGCTCTCGAGGGCGCGAGTAGGCAGACGCTCGAGGGCGCGAGTAGGCAGGCGCTCGAGGGCGCGGGTAGGGGCGCACGACGGCGCTAGAAGGGGCGCTCGATGGCGCTAGGAAGGGCGCTCGACGGCGCTAGAAGGGGCGCTCGACGGCGCTAGTAGGGGCGCTCGACGGCGCGGGTAGGGGCGCACGACGGCGCGAGGTACTATCAGACACGGTCGCGCAAGGGCGCGGCGGAACGGTGGGCCCTAACCAACGTCGGTCCTAGGTCCTGACCTAGGCGTCAGATACCATGTTAGAATGTAGAACTGAACGAGAATGATTGAACTAGGAATGTTGGGAGTACAAGTAGCAAACCCTAGAGTAATGTACCCCCTAAAGGCTAACCCACTGTAGCCTACACAGCAGTAACATGTATAATGTTTGACAGTAAGAGCTTTCATTGAGGGATTGGAGGATCCGGGGTTGAGGGAGAAGGTGTTGGGGGGAAGGCCGGTATCATTGGAGGCAGCGGAGGAAGCCGCTAAGTACTTTGTGACCTATGCGCAGCCAAAGGAGATAGAGAAGGAGGAGAAGAAGGTAGAGGTGAAGAAGGAGTCGGATGTGGATAAGATCACGAAGCAGTTGAAGAGGTTGACCATGCAGCTGACTCAAATCCAGCAGGGTAGGGGAGCGGGTATCCTACCTAGACCGGGAGGAGGAGCTGGAGGAGGAGGATTTAAGTGCTATCAGTGTGGGAAGGAGGGGCACATGACGAGGGAATGCCCTAACAAGGGGAGGGCGGCCCTGAACGTGATGCAGCAGATTATGGAGAAGTCGAAGCCGACCATGACCATAGCGGAATTCTTGAACGGAGAAGAGGGTGGAGTGGAGATGTTGGTGGGGGAGAGGAAGCGGAGAGCCATTAGGGATCCAGAAGGGTGGGGGATCGATGAGGCAAGGGAGGAGTTAAGGAAGAAACTAGCGGATGGAGGAGGAGGAGAAGAGGCAAGGGGGTCAAGGTTTGTGAGGGGAAAGGCGAGGATCTCGTCCCTCCCCACCTCCTACAACGTGGTGGATCAACTCAAGCTCACACCCGTGAGTGCGAGTGTGTGGAACTACATCAAGGACAGCGATAAGGATAGAAAGGAGTTGTTGGAGGCTTTAAAGAAGGGGGATGAGGAGAACGAGGAGGGGGCAGCTGCTATGCAAGGGGTGGCAAAGGTAGTGGCAGCCGCACCGGTGGAGGCTAAGGGGAAGGAGAAGGAGGCACCTAGAGCTAGTAACCTGTTTTTTCAGATCCCACAGTGTGATGTGTATCTCGGGAAGCATCGGGTGACCGCGATAGTTGATTCGGGAGCCTCTCAAACCGCCCTCTCCCACGTGATAGCTAGAAAGCTCGGGCTACTACCGTACATCCAGGATACCACCATAGAGTTCACCACCTCTAGCGGGGAGACTTCGAAGCCGTGGGGAGTTTTGCCGGACGTGCTGGTTAGAGTAGGGAAGCTGACTCTGCCGGTGGACATTGCAGTGACGGGAGCGAACACATACGATATGCTCCTAGGGCAGGATTGGATCTACTCGGCCAACGCGGATATCTTGACTAGTAAGGGGAAGATAGTTTACCAAGTTAACACCACGGAGACCGACTCGGTCCCCATCACCACAGGACCATTGGGTGGTGGTGGCCGCCCCTCCTATGTGCTCCTCCCCTCCCATACAACCCACAGGAACATCAACGAGGAGGATGAGGAGCGCATCAAGGAATGGATGGAGGAGCAGGACTTCCTCAAGTGGACGGAGGAGAGGAGGGTAGCCATGGCAGAGGAGGAAGGGGGAATGGAGTTGAACGCGGAGGAAGAGGATGAGTACTACCTATGGCTAAGGGAGCAAGATGAGGAAGGGGATAAGGAGGAGGCATCGAGTGAGGAGGAAGAAGAGGAGGAGAAGGAGCTTAAGGTGGTGGATGGAGAAGAGGAGGCTTGGGGATATGACTTTGGGAGCCCAACGGCGGAGGAGGTAGGGGCTTGGGAGAGTGCAGGCTTGGGGATCGATTGGGACAAGGAGTATGATGAGATGGTGGAGAAGTATGTGGGAGAGGTGAACGAGGCCAAGTGGGAGGGAGATTCCATGGTGGACGGAGAGGAGTATTTGGATTACGAGTGGGAAGAAGGGGAGCTGGTTTATGATAAGAGGAGGAAGCCGATAAGCACGGACCATTTCTTCGAGATGTACAGCTACCCGGCAGCAGAGAAATGGAATTACGTGGCAGTCGAGAGTGGGGACGAGGGGAGGATCATCCTAGGTAGTTACTACACCCTCAAAAAGGAGGTGCCTAGGGTAGCTTGCCCCGCGTTCGAAGACTTACCCGTTTCACTAAACCACGAGCTAGATAAGCAGCAGCAGAAAGAGGTGCGGACGCTTTTGGTGGAGTATAAGGAGGTCTTTTCCACGGAGAAGGAGACGCTAGGAACCCATCCCACCATTCGCCACCACATTGCCACCGGGAGTGCCAAGCCGATAGCCCACAAGCCGTACCGAGTCTCACCTTCCGAGCGCGCTAGAATCGAGGAGGTGGTCCAAACCTTGTTAGAGCAAGGAGTCATTCGACGGTCAGTACGAGTACGTGCGGATGCCATTTGGGCTTAGGAACGCACCCGCCACCTTCCAACGCCTCATGACAACCACATTCCGCATCCACAAAAACGCCATCCCATACCTCGATGACATCATTGTCTTTTCCAACAGTTGGGAGGAGCACCTTGAGCATCTGCGGGATGCTTTTGAGAGGATCAAGGAGAACCACCTCTTGCTGAAGCCGAACAAGTGTGAGCTGGGATTCTATTCCACCATCTACCTGGGGCATTTGGTGACTCGGGAGGGAGTGAAGCCGGACGGAGGGAAGGTGGAGGCGATTAGCAACATGGCGGCACCGGTGGACCAGAGGGGCGTGCGGGAGTTCCTGGGGTGCACGAGCTACTATAGGAGGTTCATCAAGGGGTACGCCAAGGTGGCACACCCTCTCACGCAGCTGCTCCACAAGGACCATGCCTTCGAGTGGACACACGAGTGCGAGCAGGCATTCATCGACCTTCAAACTCGCCCTCATTTCCCCTCCCATACTTGCATTTCCAGATTTTTCCCAACCATTCATTCTCCAAACAGATTTCTCGGCCAAGGCACTAGGGGCGATATTGGCTCAAAAGGACGAAAAGGGAGCGGAACGGGTGGTCGCATATGCGAGCCGAACTACAAGGGGAGCGGAGCGGAATCTGTCTTCAACACACGGGGAGTGCTTAGCGGTGGTGTGGGCGATCAAACACTTTAGGCCTTACCTCTATGGGAGCAAGTTCTTGCTGCAGATGGACCACCAAGCACTCCAATGGCTCATGACGGCGAAGGACCTCACGGGGAAGCTGGCTAGGTGGCGTTTGTTGCTGCAAGAGTACGATTTCACCATCACCTACAAGGCGGGGGAGACGCATAAGAACGTGGACTGCTTGAGCCGCATGCAACAGGGGTTGCATCTTCAAGAGATGGGGGGAGGACCATTTCATTGGCATGCATACATCCCATCACCTACCCATCCCCTCTCCCACACCAGCTACCCCATCCCCATGTACATATCCCTCTTTCCCAACAACCAGGAGGATGATGAGGAAGAGAGTAGTGAGTCGGTGACCAAGGGGGAGATGGAGAAGGGTGACGAGGAAGAGGAGAGTACGGAGGAGAATGGAGGAGAAGAGGAGGAGAGCTTTGAAGAGGGGCAGCGGCCGGATGAGGGAATAGAGGAGGAGCAACTGCTAGAGGAGATAGGGCAGCCTAAGAAGAAGGCAAAGGTGGAAGGAGAGGAAGGCGAGGAGGAGACCCCTAGTAAGAATCTCGCGTCCGAGACCGCCCTCGATATATGGGACGACACCAACACGTTGTTCTTCTTGGAGAAGGGAGTGGTTGATCCGGCATTGAGCACGGTGGAGAAGAGGAGGGTGAGAGCAAGGGGAAAGAACTTTGAGTGGAGGGATGGGAGGCTGCTGAAGAAGATCAAAGGGGAGTTGAAGCCGGTACCACGGAAGGAGGAGAGGAGGGACATCATAGCATTTCTTCATGGGTTGGGGCATTTGGGGGTGCCAAGGACCACGGACTTGGTGAAGAAGCAGTATGATTGGTATGGAGTGGGGAGTGATGTGACGGCATTTGTGAAAGGGTGTGCCACGTGTGTGTTCCAAAAGGGATCTTGGACGGCGAAGGGAGAGTTGCAGCCGGTACAGGTCACGAAGCCGTGGGAGAGGGTAGTGATAGACTTCATCGGGCATCTCCACACAACGGCAAAGGGAGGGAACAAGTATGTTATCTCGGCCATGGATCACTTCACCAAGTGGCCGGAGTGTAAGCCGGTGAGGAGTGCGGATGCGGCAACAGCAGCGGCATTTGTAGCAGAGAAGATTATCTCCAACCATGGCTGCCCATTGGTGATCCACACCGACAACGGGTCTTATTTCAAGGGGGAGTTTGGGGTGCTGTTGGAGAAGTTTGGGATCCACCACGAGTTCTCGCGTCCCGAACATCCTCAAAGCTCGGGACTCATTGAGAGGTTCCAACGGATCTTGAAGGGGGCGCTATTGAGGCTTGGGGAGACCAACCCTTTGGAGTGGGATAAGAACATTTGGTGGGTGCTGCTGGGGTATAGGGCCTCAATCCATTCTTCCACCAAGTTTTCCCCCTTCTTCCTACAGTATGGGCGCCACCCAAACATCACGCGCACCACCATGTCGGAGTTTGAGGCGCGGGAGCTGTCGGAGTTGTCCACAGAGGAGGAAGCGGATGCGGTAGCCGGGTATCTCTATAGAAGGTCCTCGGATATGGAGCTGGTGTTAGCTCAGGCAGTGGGGAACCATGATAGGCCGCAGGAGAAGCAGAAGCTAGATTTTGACTTGAGGAGGACAACGGCCTTAGAGATGGAGAAGTTGGTGAAGGGGGACTTTGTCCGCATCAAGCCGAGTAAGAGGGTGGCATGGGAGAAGCAGGCTAATAAGTTTAAGACGCTGTTCAGGGTGAAGGAGGTGGAGCAGTTCGATGTAGTGTTGGAGGATAAGGCGGGAGCTTCATGGAAGGAGTCTCGGGAGAACGTGAAGCTGGTGAAGTTCGTGCTTTAGAACCACAACCCCCCCTCTCCCCGCGAAGTATAGGTAACGCCTATACACCCCCACTTTCCCTGCGAAGTACAGGACCGCCTGTACACCCCCACGATCAAGCGCTCATTAGGTTACCCACTCTCGTTCAAGCAATCTTAGGCTACCCACGACCAAGGCGAACGGGCGATCAACGGCGAACAAAGCGATCAGAGATTACCCTAGATTAGATTGGCCTTCAAAGCGGATTCGGCGGCGACCTTAGGCAAGCTCGGTGATGCGGGCAACGTGCGATCAAGAGATTCAAACCCTTCTTCCTCCTCCTCTTCCTACCATTCCACCTTCCTAATCGAGAGACGGGGGAGCTTGCGACCCGACTGATCCTCGCTTTTGGGGCAACTATGGACACCGAAACCGAACGCCTCTATCAGTGGTTGGTGGATTGTTTCAACATGAGGACATGGGTCGTCGTCTTGCCCGAGTTGGGATTTCGACAGGGGGATGTGGAGGGGCTGGAATTCTTGGACCTATGCATCGATTGGGAAGAGATTTGTGGAGAAGAGTACTTCTTGGCAGAGTTCTTCAAGGTGATGTTGGAGGGGGGTGAAGGAGTACCTCGAATGCAGCCGATAGACAGGGACGACCCACGGCTTAAGGGGAGGACTTTGGATGTGAGGAAAGGTGGAGCTAAGTTGGCCATACGGTTTGGGTGGGCATCACGGGAGATCACATGGGAGGATCTGAAGTATATCACGGAGGTGCGGATGGCTTACAGATGGTGTGTGGAGAGACGGAAGGTGGTGCCACGGCATGAGGAAGAGGGAGAGGCGTTCTTAGTGCCTTGGCCTTTGATTGGGGTGGGCACGGACTACGAGATAGTGGAGCAGCCATGGGACATACATCTTCCTATCCCTAATAACTTCCTACCCCACTTCAACGAGAATTCCAATCTTCTTCATATCCTCCCTCACCCCTATCTCACTAACCATTTCACCCGCTCTTTCCCGAACCCCATGGACCCCTACTACGGCTACGAGACATGCCCCTTATGGATGCCTACCCTAAACCGCGACATCTACATCTTAGACGGGTACCGCCCCCATCGAGATCATCTATACGACTCCGACGACTACCTATCTTCTGAATCTTCCGACTATGGATATTCCCCATCCCCTCCGCGACCTCCTACACCTTACTCTCCTGCCCTAGATTCTGAGCATGATGAACCAACCATTCCCTCCTACCCCTCGTATACCCTCATCCGACATGAACCAACTACCCCACCTTCCTCACCCCCCTCTACCCCCATCATCTTACCTCATTCCCCACCCCCATCCCCTTCTTCTCCTACATATACCCCCTTCTCACCTGATTCACCCACTTCTCTCCTTCTACCCCCTGAGGAAGACTATGCCCTGGCTAGGTATGTGGTGATGGTACCCATGGGATATGAGTTTGAGCATGGAGAGATCTTCTTGGCACCAGATGGCACTAAGGTTCGGCGTGCATGGCAGGTTGAGTGGGTGAGTGGACCGGTTGTGGTGGAGTCACGTTATCTTTTCTAAGGTGATGAGAGAGTGAGAAAGAGCCTTTAGAGGATGGACCGGATTTGGTGAAGTAATGAGAGGATGGTAAGACCCCATGGAGTGGAATGGTATGACCCGGGATATAGGGGATTTCTTTCAGAGTGTGGTATTGAGTGTACCTTTGTGTGATTTTTGTGTGATATGTGGGGATTCTTGGGAAGGTACCCTCCCTTGTGTCAGGAGCCACAAGACCGCGTCCGAGAAAGTTACATTTGTAACTTAATCACTAAACTGTTGAGGATAAACCCCTTGATCTTGGTAAGATCTATTGGTTGAGTTTACCCTCGGGTTATTTATAAGAGGGTTGGTACTTGTGGAGGGTATTTTACTAAGGTTTACCCTTTATTCTAATGCATGTAGCTGGGAATTGCATTAAGGAGGATGGGCTGGTCATAAGGAAGTTTCCTTGGGAGTGAGAATAAGTGGAAGGTTCCTTGGAAGGTGGCTTGTTGGAAGTTTCCTTAGTGGAGGCTATGGGAGGATCTATTGGGGAAGGAGCATGGAAGGATCAGGGCAGGAGAATGAGGAAGGCAACAAGGAAGGTTCTATGGTGGAGATTCCATTGGAGATGTGGGTGAGCTCAACGGAGCACTCTCATTGATTGGTTGGATTGCAAGGATCCTCGACCAATAGGGGAAGGATTCCTAGGATTGCATGAATAAGATAGAAGGATGGTGGTTTGGGTATGCCCTTCCACTATATAAGTCCTTGTAGGTTGTGTGTAATTCATAATATTCTCATAGTGCATTCTTACCAATGCCACAAGCTCTCTCAACCTTCTAGCTACCTTGTACCTTGGCCCATTCAAGCTACCTTGGAGTACCCTTGGAGTCTACCTTAGGAGGAGCACCTCTTCAAGTGGAGAAGAGCCCGAGGGGAGGGCTGCAATTCTACGAGGAAGGAAGTGCTATCCAAGAAAGGAGTCTCGTACTACAAGTGTTGTAAGAGAGGTCATACGTATCCGGGTGATGCTCAAAAAGAGTGGTCAGGAAGTTTTAAAAGTTAGGAAGTTACACTGGCACTGGCTGTATTGTCATTTTCCACAACATGGTGACGCAGTTGACATCGATTGCAGATAACAAAACAGGACAAGGGGAGGCATACGCATGCTTATTCTTGGCATTGACGTTCCCAAGGCTCGCCTCATCGACTTCAGGGGTATCCAGGACGGGCTCCTCGTCGCTGTTGGAGGAGTCGATCGTAGCGTCAGAGTCCTGTCAAATTATATATATATACTTGTTTAGGTTAGCTAGGCTGTATGGGGGTTAGCACTAGGGGGTACACAAAGTTCCTCGACACCCTAGTCTTGTACCCTAGCCTTCACCTAATTCATCATCATTGCCTTAGGTTCTTAACATGGTAACTAGAGCAGGAGGTCTCTAGGACCTACAAATCGGGCCCACCCAACTGCCTGCCTTGCCTACTGCTCGCGCGCGCCTCGGCGGCAGCGCGCGTCACTTAATTTTTTCTCGCGCGCGCCTCAGTTTCTAGCGCGCGCGTCACTTATTTTTTAGCGCGCGACCCTGCTGTAGAGCCGCGCGCCGGTCGGCGTCGCCCGCGTAGGCCACGTCGAGCCCGCGCGCCCCCCCTTACGCCGCCCGCGCGCAGCCTAAGCAGAGCCCGCCGCCCACGCGCGACGTAGAGCCCGCCGCCCACGCGCGACGTAGAGCCCGCCGCCCGTCGCCACGTGCAGCCAGAGCCGCGCGTAGCACGTAGCCACGCGCAGCAGAGAGCCACGTGCGGCCCTTAGGGTTACGCAGCCAGCAGCCGCGCGCGCCCTACCTGTGTGCTTGCCTGTAAGGCTCCTTGCTGCCGAACCCACTGCCTTCACACTGTACGGCCTTTCGCAGTCTAGAGCCCCACCTTAGGAGCTCGGGTGCAGCAAGTACTGCCCTGCACGTTGCCTGTACTGCCTACTGCCTACTGCCTAAGTTTTAGCCTGCTGCCTACTGCCTACTGCCTCGTGTCTACTGCCTGCCTGCTTTCTGCTGCCTTTGCCTACTGCTGTTATGACGACACCTAATGTTCTCGCGTTCGAACCTGACGGTCGCCCCATAGAGTTCACTGTGTGGCTAGATGACCTGCAACTGTTCCTTCTGACTGATGCCAAAGAGGGCGTTTCACTGTTCGATTACGTGTCTGGCACTGCCGTTGCTCCTGCTGCTGATGCTCCTGATCTCGAACGCTCGCAGTGGCAGACTCGCGATGCTGCTGCACGGCTAGCGATTAGGAACCATCTGCCGATCACTGAGCGCGCGCATTTCAGCTAGCACAAAACTGCTAAGACACTGTACGACGCTGTAGTTGCACGCTACTCCTCCCCGGCCACTGCAGCCATAGGTCGACTCATGCTACCCTACCTGTTTCCCGACCTTTCCTCGTTCACCACTGCTGAGGACCTCATTTCCCACCTGCGCGCTACTGACACTCGCTTTCGTGCCGCCCTTTCAGCCGAGTTTTGCGCCGCAAACCCCCCCCCGATGTACTTCACTCTCTATTTCCTCGTCACCCGCCTCCCTGACACTCTTAGCTCGGTCAGGGACCACTTCCTAGCGCTACACCCCCCCACTCTCACTGTCGACGACTTCGAGAAGCACCTCCTAGCAGCAGAGAAGAACATCCTCGCTGTAGGTGCTGCTCGTGGCACTCCGCGCTCTCCCCTCTTTGAGGGGTGCTCCCCCTCCCCTCTCACCCCCTCCTACGCCTCCGCAGCTGCTGCTCACGACTACCTTGGTGCTGAGGAGGTCGAGGCTGCTTCCGCTCCTAGTGGGAAGCGTCGCAGCGGCAGGGGCGGCAGGGGTGGCAGGGGCGGTGGGGGCGGCGGTGGAGGCGGCGGTGGTGCAGGCGGCGGGGGCGGTGGAGGTGGTGGGGGTGGTCGCGGGGGTGGAGGGGGTGGAGGTGGTGGTGGGGGCGGCGGAGGCACTGGGGGCGGTGGAGGGGGCGGCAGCGGCGGTGGGGGAGGAGGGAGCGGTGGTGCCAGTGGTGGTCAGGGCCAGCAGCAGCAGCCGCAGCAGCAGCAGCAGCAGCGTCCGCGCCAGACCCCCACTTCCCAGCAGCTTCTTGACTGGTATGCCGGGCGTGGGGCTTCTGGGGGTCCTGGTCGCTGCCCCTATATCATCCGCACAGGTCCCCACGCTAACCGCCAGTGCACAGGGTTTCACACTGAGCAGCGCTGCTTCGCTCGACTTAGCGACGCCTAGCGCGCCAAGTTTCCTGATGCTACTAAGTTCCCCAACTGGGCAGACTTGCTTAGGCGTGATGTACCAATCTTTGATCTTGACTATGAGGCTATTCTAGCTGCTATGTATGCATTGTCTGTTAGTGCTGAGGGTGACTGCTACTTGTGTGTGCCGCCGGATCCTGGTATAGCCCCTGCAGCACTAGGTGCTTGTGAGTCTGCTCCCCTTGGTACTGCGCCTGCACAGGCCTTGCACACTT